TGACTTGTTAATTTCAGGAACCAAGCTCTATTGATATTTGGCATATCAATAGATAGTTCAATCCTTAAGAGCTTTGAAGTATCACTTGGAGCTATATATGGCATACATGTTGTACCTATGTATTTGAAAGAACATAAATTCGGAGTGGAAATTGGACGAGGTTTTGGATGTGTAACGGATAAGATCAAGGTTTTGAGTGATTGACTCGAATTTTGACATGCTTTCGTATCTCACAACTAAGAAACAAAGTTTCAAGATGAGGTAAATTGGAACATAAGTCTTTATCAAGACCAACAGGAAATCTCACACGATTCAAGTGAAATTCTCGTAACATTCTACAAGCACGAATATATCCATGTAAGCTGCATTTTTGCAAAAGCCAGAGTAAAGAAAATGAAAAACTTGTAAACTTGGGGCAATAACTTCTACTTTGCTAATAGAATTATTACCAGAGGTATGCTTCACATAAAGCTTCTTCAAACTGTCTGATTTAGGCAATACAATAAACATTGAATTTCCCGTAGTATCCCCATTCTCTCTCGCAGTTCACGAAACTCAATTCTCTAATATTAGGGCACTTACTAATAAACTTGGATAGAGCTTCTTCAGATAACCTAACTCCATCCAATTTCACCTCTTGCATCCTTCACCATTGAAAATTTGTTCATTAAGGGTGCAACGAGTTAGATTAGTGGTGGCAAAATGGTTAAAAAAAAAACAGTTAACCACCCATATTATCCGCTAAAAAATGGGTTGATAATGAACTTTATAAAAACGGGTCAAATATGGATAAGAACCATATTATCCATTTAGAAAATGGATAACCAATGAGTAATCATGGATAACCAATGGATTTAATTTTTTCATTTGTAAAGCCTCAAATTGGGGGTTCCTCAAGTTAGAGAGACTAAGAATTTTCCCAAAAGTGATCATATACAAGAAGTTTTGGATAATATGGGTAACCCATATTATCCGCCGATTAACCCGTTTTTTATCCGTATTAAATATGGGTCGGATCGGATAATCGATCCGCCTTTTCATTACCCGTTTTCAACCCGAACCATATCCGACCCGACCCGCCCGTTTGTCACTCCTAAGTTAGATGAAAAACGGTAAGGCATGTTGACTGAAAAATACATGGCAATGAGTAGTACAAACCATTCTCAAATCTCAAATACACCTCATGAAAATCGTTTCTGTTTATCAATGGCATCAGATTGTTATTAACAATATTCTTACCGTAAATAATATAATCAAATTTAACATGTACAATCCGTTTCTCAGCCTTAATTAACCTACTTTTCGAGGTCTCGAGAGAGTCAAAGATCCAGTCCGAGAACTTGTTATCTGCTTCTTGGGTGGGAAGTGGTCCAACCAAGCGGGTATTTTCAAAGAAAAGGGACTCGTCAAAGTTGAAAGCACAATATGATGGTGTGTTACGATGCCATCTCTTGGAAACAAGGCGGACATGAACTAGGTCTAGAAAATTAAGGTAGCAAAAGATTGAACAGATCGGAGAAGATGATCCGGTAATTGCAACGTTGGATCAGTACAAGACATTGTAGGTACATTAAGAATATCTTCAACTTTTTGAGACATGCAGAGTTCAGCCATGGCGTGGAAGCTGAAACAAGGCAAACCGTAAATCTAGTCAAATTAATTTAGTGATATTTTTCCAAGAACTTATGTGTAAATATATAAATAGAGAGAGATTTACCACTAAGGCCCAAGTGATAGAGAGAGTAATTTATTCTAAATTTTTTTTGAGAAAGCAATAACTAATAATTCTACCAAAAGTAATTCGGAAAATTGAAAATTAGGGCCCAAGTAAAAGTAACCCATTGTCCAAGCTTAATTTTCATACTTTCCTTTTTCTTTTTCTTTTTTTTTTTGGCTAAAACTGCATCTACTTTCCATATATTAATTTTTCCATATATTATTAATTGTTTTTTAAATAGGGAAGTAATATCAAAATCATATGGAAAAGTTATAGCCGCACTGCCACATTTTGTGTTTATTACAAAATTCTAAATGAGAACAAGATACTGTATATATTTTGCTTAATTCAGCCAAACCAAAAATGCCACAATTAAACACCAAAGTTCAAATTCGGGAAATAAATTGCGCCACATAAAAGAGCATTCATGTAAAAGGAAAACGAACAACAATAAAAGCAACGGAATTAGCCAAAGTGACGAGAAATACTAATGCCAAATACTAAAGTCAGGGGCGGACCTAAGTCGTGGGTAGGGCAGTGACGGATCTAGATAGGCACTTGTGGATGCTTAAGTACCCATTACCTTTGATCATATTTAATAAATTTGCATTGGCTATAATAAAAATATTTAGATAAATATTGAGTAAGCATCTATAACTAAACTTTTTTCCCCTCTTCTTTTGGAATTTTAATTGGCGAACATTCATTAGTTTAAAATNATATATATATATATATATATAAATGTATATACACAATATATATACACACACATCAAGAACCCGTTAAATATTTTACTGATGCCCCCAAATTCTCAAAAGGCCCCGTGGTAGAGTTGGTTGAGTGTAGTGCTGAAGCCGCCTGCCCCTGCTTGTTGTCTTAGGATTGAGCCCCAACTTCCACTTCTTAGGTTTTCCTTTCCCTTTAATGATTTCAAAGATTACTTTACTTAGTAGTCAATTGATTCTTTTTTTAATTTATTTTTTTAAAATTCAATTATCATTTAACACTTGTACATAATATACAACTTAATTAATGTTATTTTTTTTCAAGTCTCTCCCTCAAAATCAAAAGCTCCAAACACCTATCTTTGCAAATAAAAAAAAATTACAAACCCTTCTCTCTCGTCAACAATCATTTTGACAAAGTAGCAGCATCTATCGATTCCGGCAACGACGATTGAGAACTTGTACTTTGTTGATAAATTATCATAATCGTTAAGTTTGCCAAAAAATTTCACTAGTAATTGGCATATTTAAAGACAGTGCGCCCCCCTCCTACTAAAATTCTGGATCCGCCTCTGACTAAAGTACTTGAAAGTAAATAACGAAACATAAATCAGAACCTTAATTGAACCAACACAAATATGTTGGTGTTAGATTTCAGAGAATCCTTGAGCTGAAGAACCCTAGAAATGGAAGAAGATGTGCAGATAGAGAATGAATTGAGGAAGAATAAAATGAGAGAAATATATCTTCTATATTCTTTAATGTAACAGTACAAAGTATTTATACATGTACACTTAATTATCAACTCCCTAACAGATTAGTGGTCTCTACAGTACTCCTAATAACCTTTTGTAGTATCTGTACCTTAACTAACTAACTAACTGATTCCCTTACTCTCTATTACGTTACTCTTTCTGCTTCTACACTCCTGATAATGCCCAACTATGCCTTTTAAAGGACAAAACGGTCGCTGCAAATATAATCCGATTTTAAGTCCGGAATCGAATCCTCAGGGAACTAACCTATCTATTACACTCTTCGACAATGTTATTATCAACTCAATCAATCTCTAGATGCAAAATATTTGATCAATAAAGATTGGGTTTTTGTTTAACTACTTAAACTACTACTAAAAACAACAGTAAGCTAAAACAAAGATAATTTAATGGTAAAAAGGTCTAGAGCAGTGATTTCCCCAATTGCTAGTTTAGGTCTTGACTCTTCCGCTATAATCTCGCTGTAATACTTTATGAGGATTAAGAGTTATGGGTTATCGTAATTATCTCTCGATCAACTACAATAATTTACTAGATCATTCTCTCGAACTACTCTAGCTGACAATAGTTATGCGACTCTAAATTATCCCACCAAAGTTTTATTATCTCTAAACCCACTTTTAAGTTCAAGTAATGAATCTCTTTAATTAGCCAAAAGTCGTGTTGTTCAACAGCTATCTAATCTAATATTCTTTCTCAAGCAATATAAGGTAATTAGACATGATTAATCAAGGGCCCATTCAATTAATCACCATACAAAACGTAGTTGAACAATCATATCATAAATTCGGTTCGATTATAACAACTTGAGTCAAAACTTCAACCAACAATTGGTTCCACCAACCCTAGATAAGTGTTTAGCTACTCATAACAAAATAAGAGAAACTACTAAATTGTTCATAATGTAAAATTGCAAGAATTAAAAGGAGATAGAAAAACTCTAATGTTTGGTTGATCTTCTCACTCTTGTTCTTGCCTCCAAAAGTAGTCTAAAATTAGCTTAGAATCAAGTTGGGCGAGTTTCTAAAGCTTATAAGGGTTTTACAAAAGTTTTCCCGAAATTACACTTTGGTCCTCAAACTTCCAGCTACGTGAACAGTGCACCGCGGTCGCGGCCAACCGCGGTGAAAGCTGACCTTTCTGCCTCACTTCATTAACCTGCCGCGGTCCACCGCGGTCGCGGTGGCCTTCTTTCCCAGGATATTTTTTGCTTCTTTGTGCTCGGGTACTTCTCGAGTGGGTGTTTTCTTCATATTATCGCCTCCAAAACACTCCATGTTGCTTCCTCTCATATAATATTCCCTGTGGTACAAAAGAACACTATTTAGATGACAATTTATCTATAAAACAACAACAAAGTATGGTCATCTTAAGGTGTAAATGTCAACTATATAGCCTATTATCAACTCCCCATCAAGCTAGGTGTATGAAAATATCAAATAAACCTAGCTTGGACACTAAGTACTCATATTGAGCTCCATGCAGTCCTTTAGTTAGCACATCTGCCAACTATTCTTTGGTTCCCACATACTCTATCTTGATTAGCCCCTGCTGAATTTTTTGTCTTATAAAATAGCAATCAATCTCCATGTGTTTGGTCCTTTCATGAAAGACAGGGTTGGTAGCTATTTGTATGGCCGTTTTATTGTCAGTGTAGATGGTAGCTGGCAATTCAAACACCAGTTTAATGTCCTTAAGTAATCCAAATATCTAAACTAGTTCAGCTACTGTTATTGGAATACTTCTATACTCTGATTCTGCAGAGCTTCTAGAAATAGCACTTTACTTCTTTGACTTCCATGATATCAGTGAATTCCCATACTTTATGAAGAAACCAGACACAGACTTCCTAGTCAAGGGACATGCTGCGTAATTAGTATCATAGAAGGCTGAGATTACACCTCTCTTTTGACTAGACAGAACCATACCTTGCCCAGGGTGATTCTTAACATACTTGATCACCCTGAGTGTTGCCTCCATATGAGATTTCTTATGCTTTTGCATGAACTGGCTGAGAGTTTGAACAATAAATGCAATGTCTGGTTTTGTTACTGTCATATATAGGAGTTTTCCCAGTAGCCTTTGATAGCTAGTAACATCTGGTAATAATGCATCATCCAAGTTGTTGATTGTGCATGTGTATTCATCATACTCATGCGTAGTGAGTTTCACATTTACGTCAAGGGGTGTAGTAGCAAACTTTGCAGCACCTAAGCCAAGTTCAGAAACAAGTTCTAATGCATACTTTCTTTGATGCATTAGAATACCCTGTGATGATCCTGCAAGCTCTATCCCAAGGAGGTATTTTAACTCTCCTAGGTCCTTCTTCTTAAAGGTCTTCTGTAGTGTTGCTTTGGTCTTTTCTACTAGCCTCAAGTCTGGTCCAGTGAAGAGTATATCATCCACATAGAATAGTATAACCACAATGTAGCTCCCAGTCCCTTGTACATGCAAAGAGTGATCATGTTGACTTTGTATGAAGCCAAAACTAATCAATGCCTCTGATAACTTTGCATTCCACTGCCTGGGTGCTTGTTTGAGACTATACATGGAAGCTGCAAGCTGGCTTACTCTCCCCTTGACTCTGAAAACCATGAGGAGGAGTCATATAGATTTCATTAGGCAAATCATCCTATTGGAAAACATTGTACACATCCATTTGATGGATATGCCAATGTTCTGAAGCTGCAATAGAAAGGATGGTTCTAACAGTATCCATCTTAACAACTGGACTGAAAGTTTCTTGATAATCAATCCCTTCCTGCTGACTGAACCCTTTGGCCACCATCCTAGCTTTAATCTTTCAACCTCCCATGTAGCTTTATATTTCACTTTAAACATCCACTTGCAACCAACATGCACCTTTCTTGGAGGAAGTGAGATAACTTCCCAAGTGTGATTAACCTCCAAGGCTACTATTTCTGATTTCATAGCCTTCATCTACCTTGGGTATTAAACGACCTCTTCATAAGAGGAGGTCTCCACAACAGTGGATAAGGCTGCAATATAAGACAGGTAAGAGGGAGGAAGACTGTCATAGTAGACATAGTTGGCCATGGAATATGGAGTAATAATGTTAGAAGGCTGAGTGACAAAGTCCTTGAGCCATAGTGGGGGGATGTTTAGTTCTGAGAGATCTCCTCAGTGTAGGACAAGGCTCAGGAGCAGTAGACAAAGAGCTATGCCTACCTTTTGATAAGGTTGGGGACAAGTGATCATCATATGATGAGGTAGATGAATTAATGTGAGGAGAGGGACATATATCTGTGGGCAGTTCTTCACAGTTAGAAGGTGAAGGACGTGGCTTGAATATAAGAGGAGAGACAGACAGAGAGTCCTTTAATGGAAATACATCCTCTCTGAAAATAACATCTCTATTGACAAAGAAGTGTTGTGTAGCAATATCTAAGAGAATATAACCTTTTTGAGTGCTTGAGAATCCCATGAGCACAGCAGGCTTGGCCCTAGGCATGAGCTTATCTGTCTCCTGTACTTGCTTTGCAAAACACAAGTAGCCCAGAGTTCTAAGATGTCCTAGCTGAGGCTTCCTATTGTACAACAGCTCATAAGGTGAACACCCCTTCAATGCTGATGATGACAGTCTGTTGATCAAGTATGCTGCAGTAATAACACAATGACCCCAGAACTTGATTGGAATATTAGCTTGAAACCTCAGAGCTCTGGTGATTTCTAGGAGATGTCTGTGCTTTCTCTCAACTACCCTATTCTGCTGAGGAGTGTAGGCACATGTGGTTTGATGAAGGATTCCAAGGTTATTGAACACAATTTTACATACTGAATTTAGAAATTCAGTACCATTGTCAGATCTCACCATTTTTATTGTTTTATTGAACTGTGTTTGAACAAAGTCAATGAACTGTGGTAATACAAAACACACATCAGATTTCAGTTTCATTAAGAAACCCCAAGTCATTCTAGTGAAGTCATCAACCACTTTGAGAAAATATCTATAACCATCAAAGGTTGCAGTTTTATAAGGTCCCCAAACATCTACATGAATGAGATCAAATGCATTAGTACTTTTGATGCTACTGATAGGAAATGGTGTCCTGGTTAGTTTAACACAAGGACACACATAACAGTTATTGATGACATTAGTAATACTAGCTAGTTTGACAGAAAATAGTTTCTTCAGAACAATAATAGATACATGGCCAAGTCTCATGTGCCATAAGACTATATCATTGGGACTGATTGGAGGTCAGCCTTTGAGCTAACAGCTGCCAGGGACACAATAGTCAATATCTTATTTCTATGTTATTGTAGGAAGTACAAACCATCTCTTTCTCTACCAATCTCCTTCACCCTACCATTGAAGAGATCTTGGAACACACAAAAATCAGGATAGAAAGAGGCAAAGCACCTTAAGTCCCTTGTCATTTTTGACACTGATAACAGATTATACTTGAAATGTGGTACATAGAATACTTATTTTTAGAGTGTTGTTGTTTGATATCTGACTATCTCCAATATGAGTTACTTTAGTGAAATCTCCATTTGGCAAGAGAACTTTTCTAGAGATAGAGGGTTCAACTATGGAGGCTTTATTTAATAGGTTGACATTGGACACCATGTGGTTTGTTGCCCCTGTGTCAATAATCCACTCTTGTGGACTAGTGGAAGCTAGTAAAGCAATACTAGTAACTCCTGCATTAGCTTAAGAAGTAGGTGAAGGACTGTTGTCGCTTGCTGAAGGAGAGCTGACTGTGTTGTTGTTCAGAATTTGCATGATTTGATCATATTGTTCCTTGGTGAAGGGAAATGCACTACCTCCTCCATGTTGTGGTTGTTGCTCCATACTTGTAGAGTGATTGTTGTTTTGCAAAGGTTGAATAGATCTTGGCTGCATAGTAGTCATCTGTGAACCAGAGTTTGGCTGTCCACAGGACTGTGTGTAGGAGCTTTGCTCAGGTAGTGAATTGTAACTACCAGAAGTTGATCCATACTCAACTACTGCATTATAAGCACCAGCTCCCCCTTTCTTCTTAAACTTGTTGTCTGCTAGATAACCAACTATTTTATAGCTACGGCCCTTTAGTTTATAGAACTCACACTAGATTAAAGTTCTTTCTGTATTTTGGTCTATTACCAGGCTTAGAACTGTATAGTGTTGTAGATTCATAGTGTCCACCAGTGGCATTAGGTGAAGACCCTAAGATTCCTGCTGATCCGGTTACATTTCTCTGACTCTCCTTACTTATTAACATAGCAAAAGCTTGATTTACAGAAGGAACATGTTTTATCATAAGGATTTGACTACGAGCTTGTGAGTATGAGTCATTTAAGCCCATAAGGAACTGATACAACTTTTGTTTATGAAGATGTTCAATGAATTTCTTAGTTTTAGGGCAGTCACAACCAGGTTGTGGAACTAGATCTTCAGTTTCATCCCATAGGTCTTTGAGTTTTGAATAGTACACAGATATAAAGGAGATACCTTGAGTTATGGTTGCAATTTTCTTGTGTAGGTTGTAGCATCTAGTGCCATTTACTTTGTCAAAACGCTCTTACCAGTCCATCCATACAATGTGAGCATTGATTGCATATGCAATTTCACTGATCAAAGTCGGTGCTACAACATTCATCAGCCATGACAAGACAATAGCATTGCATCTTTTCCACTGATACCAGTATTTTTCTCGAAATTTTTCCTTCTTCCACCTTCAGTCAACCATTCCGAGCTTATTTCGACCTAAAAGAGCAATTTTCATATATCGATACCATAGTGAGAAATTATCTGTGCCTGTTAATTGAAATGAAATCAGAGATATTCCACTCATATCCTTAGGTGCCAAATACAGAGGATGAGTGACTGGAACTGAAATTCCTTCTTCAGATTCATCCTCCGATGAGGTTTGAGAGGTTTCAGTTATAGTTGCAGGTGTTTCCTGCTCAGAATTGTCAACCGCCATTGCTGACGACTTAGAGCTTCAGAATTGAGATGCGAAGAAGAGAATTGAGTAAGGAAGAGAATTGAGGAGATGATTACAGATCTGGATCAATTTGTGAGATTCAATTCATAGCTCAAAGCTATGATACCATGTTAGATTTCGGAGAATCCTTGAGCCGAAGAACCCTAGAAATGGGAGAAGCATGTGCAGAGAGAGAATAAAGTGAGGAAGAAGAAAATGAGAGAAATATCTTCTAAATTCTTCAATGTAACAGTACAAAGTATTTATACATGTACACTTAATTATCAACTCCCTAATAGATTAGTGGTCCCTACAGTACTCCTAATAACTGATTGTAGTATTTGTACACTAACTAACTAACTGATTCTCTTACTCTCTATTACATTACTCCTTCTGCTTCTACAGTTGGTATTTTCTTTAAGGGAATTTGCCAATTCTAAATCGACAATTTTAGTTTTTTGAGTAGAATAATAGGCAATATCCAGTGGAAGTTTACAATCTCAGTCATGGCGTCCTGAAATCGCTTCTCTGATTCTTCAGCCGCTCCTTGTTCCAATGTGTAAATATGTACTTTCTGCGTGTGAGAGAGCGAGTGAAGTGTGACTTTAAATAGTATGCACCGCCATGGAGAACTAATCAGTGAGTTTTAGAGACTTATTTTTTGGAAAACTGAAAATAGCAGTTAACTTCATATATATTTAAAATATTTATTTTACTAATATACTTACTCTGTAAAACTTTATTCAATTTTTAAATCTTTAATATCATTATATGCCATTAAATAAATTCTACTCCTACCTTTTAAGAGACTAGATTACAAGACAAACACTTATTCCAAGTTTTTTCTCACAATCAATTAGCGGATGGTGGAGGAAAGAAAGAAGATATAAATTGAATATCATCACATGACGTTGCTTTCAGTTTTGCATTTGAGCAACTCAAACCGGTATTCTTCTCTTTCACTGTGATGCATATTGGAATCTCTATGAACTCTCGATTCCTCCTTTTCATAACTCAAAGTAAAACCGAATGCTCATGTCGTTAACCACTACGATTGGTGTACACCCTTCCTTAACCTTGTACTTGGTATCAACCAAGTTTGAAGCATTGTGAATTCTCTATTATCATAGAACCTGACAATTATTATTAAGAACCATTTGAAGAAAAGATAACAAAATTAGTGCTAAGTAAAAAAGCTCAAAACTAATCCATAGTATGGTAATGGTTAAACATGTAAACTGAGAGTTGGGAATAAAAGACCTCATTACTTAAAAAAGGGAAAAAAGAAATAGCATCTGAAAAAAGTCAACAAACTAAAAACAATAAACACCTAATCTCAGTGACGAAAAGAAAATGCAGTGGTCTAACTAGTGAATTGCCAAGTAAATATGAAAACGAGTGTCAACTTGTCCTTAACATAATCAACTTGTTCATGAACCTTGAAATCTTTTAGGAAATAGCGCCAGCATTTGTCATGAGCACAACAGTTGCCTTCTCTTCTGCTTTCCAATTCCTTGCAGACTCCCTATACAAATCAAATAAGCAAATTGTATTTATTTTTTTAAAAAAAACGAAAATAAAAACAAGAAATATATACATATGCTTGAGAACATTACATGTGCCAGTGCTTCAAAACCATAGGGTATCAATAGAGTCAATGTCTCTGGACGAGACATCCAAAATAAGCTATCAGTTATATATTTCATCAAATATTCATGTGGAAATAATTCGAGCCTCATGTCTAGCTCTAAGTGTTTGATATAATGTAGCGGCTGTGTTGGAGCTCGTCCAATTAGTTTGCTCCACAAATGTCCACGTAATTTTCCCATAGAAAACCTTGTCTTCCTCATTCAAT